ATGGATATCTTGTTTCTTGCACAATAACACTTAATCTGTTGCAGAAAATAAAAGGAATCAGAGGCTCTCCTCTTAGTCATCTTCCATCTCTGTGTACCAAAAATAGCAATATATAGAAAATAAGAGGGATCACTCACGTAAATTTGTACAGAAAATGACTATGAAAATTCATACCATTTTGCCTAGTACTTTCTTTCATCTCCTAATAGTAGAGATCTAAAACAAACAATAAACAATCTGAGTGATTCACATCAACTGAAACTATCCATAAGTCATCCACTTTCGACCATGAAAATTCAAACCTCCACTCCACTTTGGCAAGAACTTGGACTTATGACGAAGAAATCTAGACTTACAAAAAATCAATTCAACCAATGACACCCACAAAGATCAATGTTGATTAGTAGAAACCAAAAAGAAAATCCCATGACAGATAAAAGAGGACCTGTCAACCTAAGAAACCACAGTACCTAAAGGAGACAATTGTAACTCGAGCTTTTGTTTCTTGACTTTATGGTATCTATCCATGGCTTTGAAAGTCCTAACACAATGGAAGAGGAAAAAGCAATGATGTATATAGAGGAAAACAATAATGCTAAACCTAAATTTGGAGAAAGAGAGAGAGAGGAGGAGGAGAAGGAGGGAGACAGAGCGTTACTCAAAAGTGGCGACTATTGGATGGTAGACATAGTCGTCGATGATTACACTGAATGTAGTTGTAGTTGGCATAGTAGTCGCTGGTGGTTCAGTTCTTAGGCAAGTGGTAGAGTTGAAAGAGAGATAAACATATGTGAGAAAGAGGGAGAGATATGTGAGAGAGGTAAGTATGAGATAGGAGAGAGTTTTAGAATGAGATAGGGAGATAGAGTTGGATGAAAGACAAGAATCTTTGTATCAGCTAGTATAAGATAAAAAGAAAGAGTTAGATGAGAAATAAGAGTTTTTGAAAAATTTGGCATGAGAACTGTTGAATCAATAATCGTCAAGCAATCTGAATCGCGAAAAGTTAAAGATAAAGAAATCTAGTTACTTTATTATATAGAAATATAGAGAGAGAGAAGATGCGATAGTGTGTTTAAAACGTTTAAGAGATAAGAGAGAGAGTTATATAAGAGATAGGAGTGTTAGAGTTAAGTCCAATTATGATCGTCGAATCAGTACTTATGAGATGATCTGAACTATCTTTTATATTGAAATTACGTTGTCCGTTAAATATATATATGTTTTGTCTCAAAACGATTTAGACCTCTTTTAGTCTCCAAAATTCAAACTCAGCTCTACTTTATTTTATATATATATATATATATAAAATATCTATACACACATGCATATACATATACATATACATATGTAATATCTCATTGACATGATTCTTTAACTTTTTCATGACCTCCTACAGCATTGCAATTCAGTTTCTAGGAATCCTATTCCTTAGACATATTCAAACTTGGAGAGAGAGAAAGCGCTTTATGTTAGTGTCTGAACGTTTTCTTTCAGCTTTGAATAAGCCACAGCACCATGCAACTTTCGTGACATTGACCAGCTAAGAAACAAACACATACCGCTGATGCAACCCTCAAATTGAAGTCATCTTTCACACAGTAAACAGTATAGGAACAATATCTCAACACCTTTCTGACAAGTTTCATGAAACCACACACTCTTTAATAATATCATCTGTATAGATGTACATATATATACTTATATGTAAGAGAGAGAGAGAGAGAGAGAGAGAGAGGACTAGTCCAAAATATACTCCATTTGAGTGAGTAAATTGTGATTTACATTAATGTCCACATCCTACTAGGGAATCTAAAAATAATTAGAACAATGCATCTGAACTAATACTTTCACTTTGACCCAAATTAGTTATATATATTTTGAATCAATAAACAGAGCCAAGAGGTTAAATAAATACTACTAAGACATCTGAAAATCATCCCTAGCTCTCAGCTTCTGTGTGGGTTAGTGACATTTTGACACAGTCATAGTGGTTTGTTGACCATAGTTGCATATGAACTAGGGACAGCTTCAAGGACTGTCTCTTGTGACCAATTGCCACTCATAAGATCATAAGGAAACCCAGTACCTAAACCCATGGATAACCCTTCATATCCACCAGCTCCATTACCAGACCATGACCCATAATTGTTGTCCATAGCCAGTGAGGAAGAACCAGAAATGCTTGAACCTTCTTCGGACCACGTAAAACAGTGACTATTTTTGGCACCAAAGCCAAATTCAGATGACCCAGAGATTCCAAGAAGAGAGGAGTGACTTGGATCATGGACCATGCTTTGTGAATTAAAAGTTTGCCCATAATTCACATCCATTAAAAATGGCATTGTTGGTGCAGTAAACTGATTTAACAAAGCCGAAACTCCGGGATCACATGCTTCAACCTTTGGTACAAAAACTGGATAGGGTGTTGAGAAATGAAGAGAAGCATGGTTGTAAGTGCTCTCTTCATTCATGTTGCTTGTAGGGTTGCTTTTGGCTGCCAATAATTTCTTCTTCAATTTGGTGTTCCAGTGATTCTTCACATCGTTGTCTGTTCTTCCTGGTAGTTGAGCAGCTATGACAGACCACCTATATATTAAAAAAAACCATATTGGAGCATGTGTTAGAAAATGAAAGTTTTCTTAAGTTCAGAAGAATATATTAATTAAATAATAATAATAATTTTGTGGTTATTAATATAAATTGGTCAACTTGCCTGCTTCCCATTTTACTATAGAGATTGCATATAATGTTGTCTTCCTCTTCAGTAAATGCTCCATGTTTGATGTCTGGTCTGAGGTAATTCAGCCATCTCAGACGACAACTCTTACCGCAACGTTTGAGACCTGTGACATATGAAACGATAAACACTGTTGACATTGAAGAAGAGCAAGATTGAATTGGTGAAAATATGAATTAATAGCAGTTTATCAGCCAGAAATAAGGTTTCTGACCATAATGAATGAGAAATTTTGCCCAAAAAACTTAATACAGAAATACAAAGTGAGAATAGGGTTTTTGCCATAAGGTAAATACTTTTTATTTCTGAGAAATCAAAGACATATCAATGAAGCACAAAACACACGCCCTTAACAGGACACACAGCAAATCATAAAGAGACCGCTTCATAAAGCAGATATGATCATAAGAGTCTAGTTTAGTTATAAACTTTGAAAATTCTAGCTGCAATATCAACCTTGAACTATGTGTGGGCATAACTATGGAATTACTATATGGAGTATGAGAACCAAAGGTCCCTAGAAAATAAACAAAACAATGACTGGTTTGCAGTCCAAAGAATGTGCAAAAACAAGCTATGAACTAGTATTCAAGAAATTGGGCTAAGACTTTTAACAGCTTGTGTACCTGCCTAAGACTTACCACATAAATGGAAAATTATGGCGTGGAGCATAAAAATAGCTGGATTTTAGAAAGATGTAACAATTAGGCAATTGGGTAGTGAACAATTTGCATAAAACACAAGAAAACTACCCATTGGGGTTCAAACAAGAGAATCCAGGAACTAAGAACACAACTTGATTATCTGTGTGTGTGTGTGTGTGTGTGTGAGAGAGAGAGAGAGAGAGAGAGAGAGGGAGGAACTAACCAGCTTTCGGAGGTAAGGCTATCCAGTTGCCACCAGTGCCATGTGTATGAAGGTAGTTCTTGAGAGCTTCATCTTCATCTGGAGACCAAGGTCCCCTTTTCACTTTGGTCTTGTCACAGCAAGGAGCTCTTCCCATGGCTGCACAGAGAGAGAGAGAGAGAGAGAACTACTTGTATATAGAGACTGTAGATTTGAAAGAGAAAGAAATTCAGGCACGCAAGAGCAGAAATAATGTTCCTTAAGAGAACCAATAGCCTTTTGGTGACTGCTTATAAAGTGACTATAAGTCCCTTTGTAAGCTTGACTTTGGAGGACCTATTCTTTGTTTTTAAGTCCTATTTTACCTTGTTTCTTGTTAATAAGCTTAAGAGACCGAGTCAATAGTCACACCATCAGCAAATGATGCCAACATTTACTTAGTTTTGGTTCATATGTAAAGTAGTTTCTCTCATACTTCTAGTCATGATATTTGCATTAATTTTCTAAACCATTTTTCTAGTTGTATATCTAAATGAGAATGATAAGGACATTACATATAATCATGAACTTTTCTTGGTAGATGACTATCTAGAAACATAGCTTAAGGTGATTACCTCTAATTATCCTTGACTTTTGAAACTTGAGACTATTAATTAATTTGACAAAAATTATTAGAAGTGCCATTGATATGATGTATGCAAAGCGTCATCCTCGTAGACCGTCAGACTTCAATTTTTTTTTTCTGAATGACCCGATCAATTCTATCCGGCTCTCCTTATTTATTTTTTATTGTTTCATTTTCGATAAAATGGAAAAACCGAAAGTGCAGTGTATAAGCTGCTAATGAATCTAATTTGATTAGCAATAAGTGTCACAAGGTGAATCTCATTCATATGTATGCACATGACATCCTTAAATTTTGGTTGCAAAATAAAATTAGTGGACTAATTTCATTACGGCTTGGTATATACTCCCCCCCCCCCCCCCCCCTCCCCTCCTTTTTTGTGTAAGAATGACTAATAAGAGAAATTGCCATTTCAATCCAAGAAATTTCAATTTTAAGGATCCAAGTGGTTTTTTTTTCCCTGAGTAAGTTAGAGTACATCACACACTAGTTTTTTTTTTTTTGCCATTTAGTCATTAAGTTCATGGTTCACCCAGGAGCATGTTATAGGCATCGGTTAAATGAAAATACCATATTATGTTTGTTCCAAGACTACCATTTTTCTATTGTAGGGAGAGTTATTTAGTATGTTTTCAACTAAAATAAATTTAGAATGGATCGAAATGAGGAAATAGGACAAAGGGAGTGAACCAAGACCATAAAAAGTGACAACCTAGTGCATGAGATTCTCGTAATAACTCGCAATCTGAAAAGTCAGATATACCCAGTTTTACTCTCACACATGGACAGACAGTTTTCTTGACTTGACATGCATTGTGGCCTCTGAAATTTGATTGCTAATAAAATTCCAGTTTGCAGCCTCTGAAACTTGATTAATAGTACTAAAAGTCACCACATACTTGTTGGAACACTGATGATGACCTTCTGCTTTCACTTTTTAAGTGAACAAAATGTTTTTTTTTTTTTTTTTTTTGGGGGGGGGGTGGTATTTAGAGGCTTGAGCTTAATCTTCATTCTATGCAATCAAAGTTCTTCAAACTCTTCACTCAAACTCAATGTAGTTGTTCTTTTTTAGGATCAGTTAGTGACTGTCATGCCATCATAATCTTTCCTTCAATTGTTACTGAACTGGGCATACATCTTTTGTACAGTGATCCTTTGAAACTTGTTCAGACTGTGAATCTTTTTCCTGGGTATTCCTTTGTCACAACATGATAATAAGACCACCAGGGGCGGATTCACAGTGGGGGCAGCTGCCCCCACTGGAATTTTAAAAAATTTTGGGGACTAAGTGTAATTTTAAAAAATTTAGAATTTATTAGATATTTGCCCCTACTGATTTTTTTTAAAAGATTTAAGGGTAGTTATGTTATTTTGACAAATATATGAGTCTCACCTGTAAATATCAATGGAAGATGATATCAAAAATTTGGACATTTAAAGATTAACTAATATGTTACGAAATAGGTTAGCCCTCTCATTTGTTTTATGTCTATACATCGAACTAAATTTAGGGTTTGTAATCCTCTTCTTTTTTTTATGTTTATATGTTAGAATTGAAAATTAGGGTTTGTAGCCCTCTTTTGTGGTTTATTTTTTAATTGTTGAATTGAAATTAGCGTTTGTAACTCTCTGTTATATTTTATTTGTTATATGTTGAATTGAAAATATAAAATTAGGACTTGTAATCATCTCCTATGTTTTATTTTTTATGAATTGAATTGAAACTAGGATTTGTAATCTTGTATTTATTTTTCTATATTAAAATAAAATTGGGGCTTGTAGTCCTCTTCTATGATTTATTTTTTTATATATTTAATTGACATTTGAGTTTGTAGTCCTCTCTAGTATTTTATTTTTATAATTGAATTAGAATTATGACTTGTAGTCGTCTCATTTATTTTATTTTTATTTATAGAATTGGAATTAAAACTTGTAGTCCTCCATTATAATTAGACTAAATTATTTTGATTTGGTAGTTTGAACAGTTTTACTGTGATAAATTAAGTACTTCATATACTTAGATTTAGTTTACTAGAATAATTATAGTTTAAGTTAGTTTCGATTGTTTGTTAAAATTTAATGATGAATATTAAGTTTGTGATTAAACAAATTAATTTTTGAATTAGTTATGAAAATTTTTCTTAAAATTTAATATATGATTGAGCCCAATTTTGTGGTTCAAAATTTTTTTGTTAGGTCTTATAGATAAATGCATAATGAATTTTTTTTGTTGGCTCATATTTTATATCGCTCATGCATATGAATTGCGTCTTTAATTAGTATTCTATTAATAAAACTATACTTTTGTGAATATTTTAAATTTTAATATTAATATAGTTTAAATTACTCCCACCGGAGAATATGTCTGATTCCGCCCCTGTAGACCACAATAGCAACTTTTTGACATGGCTAATTTTTTGCCTTTGGTGTGCTAAAATTGACGGTGATAGTTTCAACCATTCCCTCTACCGAAGTAACAAGAACAATAATGAACAATAATACTTGTATAGTGTCCTTAAATAGGCCACAACCTTTCAGGTCCTTTTTTTTTGGAGGGGGGGCCCGGGGAGGAGGTTCATGAAAAAATTCATTAATATCTAGTAGGGTTGTAATTAAGGTGTGTCAACTGTCAACTAACAATCAACCCAAAATATTCAATACTTCATAAAGATTTTTTCTAGGTATTCAGATGAGTTGGGGCAGACAATGTATACACCTGATTTAAATTTGGACAGTGCATAGGTTGAGTTCTCGAGTTTTAAAAATCCAACCGAACATGTTCAGAATTTGATAATCGAAATTCAGCTCAATTATTCACTAATTTGGATTCCATAAGCGAATAAAACCTTAGCTTTCAATCGTAAAACCAATGCACAAGGCTCTTATATATAGTAGAGCATGAAAGATGTTGGTTGGTAGATAATTTTAACTCTGTTTTGGAAACGATTGATTTTTGATCTCAAACGCGCAACATATCACTTGTGTAGACCCGACCTCTAGGATTCAATTTGATGATGGCAGTGTAACATAATAAATCCTCTATGGAGGTTGTGGGCTCTTACTGTTGTTCAATGAGGACAACCCCAAAGAGAAGTGTTTGGGGGTAATTTGGGTGTCAACCGTGTGGTGTTATGTTATTTTCGTGTCGTCTTGTGTTAATTTTGGTACGTGTCAATAAAAAATTATTTAATTTTATAATAATTCATATAATACTATTTTAAAAATTATAAAAAATAAAATAAAAAATAACTATTTTTTTTTTATCTATAGTACCTATTTTTTTTATCTATAATAGTCATTAATCATGTTATCCATGTCTAACATTAATTTGATCTATTTATTTTACGTGTTAATTAATCACATTATTTTTGAATTTTCAGTCGCATCGGGTTCAGATTTGGGTTCGGATATTTGTTCGTGGGTAAAATTGACACCCTACTAATTTCTTATGATTGTGTCCTCTATCAAAAACGGAATGACTTGGTCAGACCAATACCTCCTTTTTGACTTCCTGGGCCAATGCGTTTTTGGGTTACAGTTTCTGGAGCCATGTTTGCACCATTGTCAAAAAACCTAATGTTCTACAACTGCAATAAGATATCTCCATTTGGGGATTTGGGCAAACATAGTAGTTGGGATTTCAATGTCAAGGATAAGTCTATGGTACTGAAATAAGTCAAGAGCAATTGATTTTAGTGTGACTGATTCGTAGTTATTGATTGTAAAATTAATAAAATAATATAAAATTACACATGTCAACATTTTATTGGTTAAAAGAAAAAAATACAGAACCGGACTATTAATTTAGGATACCGTAACTTTGTAACCCGACCATCTTCCATGTTATGGCCTCACCCATTTTTAGAAGCATAAGGAAATGGGTACCATGTTCTGGTGTTCAGACGGAGCTTATAAAGCAAGCATGATTGAATTCACAGCAATTTCTTTCTATCCATGTACAAGAACACACATGAAATTGCATTTGTTTCTAAAGGGTTTGCAATACAGAGGTGGCCTTGCTTTGTCCCCATCCTTCATTTTTCATTTTATATGTGGGCTTTTTTATTATTTTATTTGTGGTGGGGAGGGAAGTGTTTATTTCAAATTTCAAAAAACATAACTCATCATGAGTATATATAGAGGGAGAAAAATAATCTTACAGTCGTTTATTTTAACCTCTATTTTCGTATTAGCAACATGTTTAAAAAATAAAAACACAATCTTAGTATTAGTCTCACGCATAATTCCATAGACTTACCCGACGCATGTGTCGGATGCATATGCAGAACTAGAGTTTAAGCTGCTCAGGCATGAGTGTTACATTTTTTTATCCAGTCTATCAAAAGGAGCATAACTGGAAAAAGAAAACACTAGTCGTTTAGGTTGTCATTTTCATTTGCCTGTCCAAACCAGGATATGGCCCTACAATTTTGTGCATATTATTAGCCCAGCCTTAGAAAGAAACTTGGTTGTGTTGGACTTGCTGAACATTGTCGACGACCAATCCTGGCCCATTCAATTAGGCCCAT